TCATCATAAAAGTTCAAAATGGTCTTGACAGGGTGAAATATTATTTTGAAAACAGTTAAGAAGTTTGATTTTTTTTTGAGTAATCCCAGCAGTCCAAAATAGGGAAACTTGCTAGGGCATCAGTCCATGAGAGGAAATCACAAACACCCTGACCAGTAGTGCTATGTAGTTATTGAAAAACAAAACCCCAAAAAACTATTACTTTTTTAGACTGTATTAATCAAAACAGTCAAAACCTGGAAATGAGTTTAAAGATAATCCAGTCCTAACCTAATTACAAAATGCAGATCCATGAGTAAGACCATAGGGTGCAATCCAGAAAAGTTAGTTATACTCTGAGCTCGTCAGAGGATATGTGGCCTGGGGGGCTTCATTTCGGACTCTACATTTTGGAAGGACAACTAGAGTATGTCAGAAGCACTAGAATGTCATGTTGCTGAGGGATCTGGCCACTGAGTTATTTCCATACTGATGGGTGGAATAGAGGTCAGTTAGTCTGTAGAAAAGAAGAAGCAAAGGATGAGAGTAGGTGGCAACCACCTGCAAACAAATAATTAGTGTCTGTCTTCAGACAGAGAACTTAGAAGAAAGAAAACAAAAACTGCAGAATGGCATAAGGAAAAGGTGAAAGAAGCATAAAAACAAGAGAAGGAACCAAGTTCTCCACATGCTCAGCCTCATACACAAAATGATCCTAGCGCACCAGGTGCCATCTTCACGATCACTCAGCACAGTAGGTCCTGGGCTTCTGTGTTCTTCAGCCTGGTCCTGACTTAACCCCTGCAGTTACCGGGCACTCACTGTGGGCCAAGCTCTGTGCTGAGAACTTTCCCTATATTATGTCTTTAGTCCTTCCAGTACTGTGCGGTGATGCTGTCATGATCCTTTACATTTTATACATAAGGAGACCGAGGCTTAAACAGATTGGATAACTTGTCTATGTGAGTGGCAGAGCTAGGGATTAAACCAGATCTTACTGGTCGCAAAGTGGGTGAGCTAATCACTAGACCACAGTTATCTCCTCCTTAGGATCAGTTTTACAAATCCCAGTACGTTCCATTATTCACATACTGAGCTGATATTGACTGAAGGTAGTAGTTTTCTTTTGACACCATGACAGATTACCACAAACTTGGTGACTTAAAATAACCCAAGTTTATTACCTTGCAGTTCTTCTGTTCTGAAATCCAGCATGGGTCTCACTGGGATAAAATCAAGGATTCAGCCCAGTTGCATCCCTTCTGGAGGCTCTGGGGGAAAATTCATTCTTTGATTTTCCCAGCTTCTAGGGTCTGTCTGAATTCCTTGGCTTGTGGCTCCCTTCTTCTGTTTCATAGGATTAGTGTATGGGCATCTTTGGGGAGCTATATTCTTCCTAGAATAGGAAGGTATTGCTCCAGGCAATATGAGATAGACAAGGAGGAGAAAGACAATAGCAAGTAAACAAATACATATGCCAGACAATGTGTGTGGCAAAAGCAAAAAACAATATAATCATCTCAGTAGCTGCAGGAAAAGCATTTGACCAAATTTAAGTCATTCCCCCACACTTCTTTGCTGGGAATGCTCATCCTCATCTTTCTGGATCTCACCTTAGATGTCTCCTCTTGAAGAAACAGTTTCAGGCATGTAAGTAAGTGCTTAACAAACACAAATCTCTGTTTTTGTTTTTACTTACTTATATAATAGTATTTTAAAATCATACAGTGCTTTCTCAACTTACCCAACAGATGGATGTTTATTATCACAGGTGAGTCAATTCACATTTCTGAATAACATGGGCATTGTGATTACATTTTAGTAAAAGCAAACAAGTAAGCAAAACCCCTTTATATGTGTGTCAGTTGTTGTATGTATTTGTATAAGCGAGGAGAAAAGTGTAGAAGAATATATATCAGGCTGTTAGCGGACAGCAGATGATCAGTTTTGGTTTCTGCATCTTTGTGCTGATAAATACTCATGGAGTGGATGAACAAGAACTGCTAATAATGGTTAAATGATGAGTGGGTTCTGTAAGGTAGTGAGCATCCACTGATCCTTGAGGACTGAGTGGGTATCATCTTGCTCAAATCATACACTCTTCTGTTTGTTTTGTTTTAGCTACATTTTGACATCTGGTTAACCTAGATGGTTTCCTAAGTGAATTAAAAACCAAGAGAGCATAAATAATCAATTTCTGTACTGTATCCAACTTGCTTAATAGATTCTTGTGCCATAATTTCCTCTTCTGCAAATTAGGAATAATAGACTTTCTGTAAGAATAACACAATTATATTGGTTAAAAGGCACTTATATTCATAAAGTACCAAAGAGTTGTTGAGTATAAGTGAGAACTCTCTAATTTTTCTTTTGTGACATCCATGCCAACTGAGTATGCTCCAGAAAAATATATTATAAGGCACAGCTATGATCCCCCTTAAAGTTGAATGTATTTGAACAAATGTCACCCTTTTTCCATAACCCTTAAAATTAAATATTCTTCCTTTCTGGGTCTGGACACTAAGTGGGAATCTGGTGGAGGAAGAGCCAAATCCCAGGCTATTCCTCATACAGAAGCTTTTTCATGATTTTGCACTGTAGCCAGACTGTATCTTTGGACTCCATATAACCTATGTTTGAGTCGTTAGGGCAATTGGAGCAAACATTCAAAAGAAACTTCAGAGTCATCACCCAAACTTATAGATAACTCTAAGCCTACACAACTTGGACAAGTATCTGAGATGGCCTTTGAGGATGAAGGGGAAGACAAATGCTTTCCAAAACCAGATAGATTCTGTGGGAGATTTTCCACACAGACCATACATGCATTGCTTCTTATTTCTCCCTAGTAGGAGAGTATAGATGTGGCTTTACCCTATGATATTACAGCAGCCTTCTTTCTCCTCTCTTTGATTTCAACTCTCTTGCATTCGCTGATACTCAGCTTATGTCTATTGGCCATTTCCTCCATGCAAGAAATCAGTGAAGAAAGAAGAAAGAGAGATTGAAGTGCTTTACTTCTCATTTACATCCCTCCATTCTCAACAGTGCCACCCCCAAGAGCCCCAAATTGTGTTTTCTTCATAATAAGCTTTACCTTGATTCAATTTTTTCATCTATAAAATGAAGGTAATGATGAGATCTGACTTATATGGCTATTTTGGGAATTTAATAAGATAATTAACGTAAGATACTTAGAACCTTGCCTTGAACAGCGATCACTCATTAAATCATAGCTATAATGAATATTAGCAATATTAATACTCTTCATTCATCATTCCACATTTATTTTATCTTAATAAGGACAGGGTATGTTTAGAGTTCTGACAGATGTGAAGAAATGCAAAAGCCAGAAAGAATTAATCGACCTTACAGCTGTGTTAAAGAAAATCTCACGAGCAGCCCAAATTTCACTTCCTATTCATAGGCACTAGTCAAATAAAGAATTACTCCAGTAGATGCATCCCTGGCAACCTGAAGTGGTGTGCTATCCCTGCCTTGTTATTCTTGTGGGTGGAGCTCTTTAACACCTTCTCTCAGAATGGCAGAAACATCATTTTCTCTCTCTCCTCTCTTCTTGTTTCCCCTTCATGTCTACTTATCCTTCGTCACTGAAATTATTCGGCTCTTCCACGCCCAGGCTTACAATACCCGACCCGGCTCCAAAGGTCACAGGCCCAAGATGAAACAATTCAGCTTTTTTCCCCCCTAGAATGTTGGGACCTGAGAGAGATGGCAAAGGGCTAGAACTTGGCTAGATAGAAGCTTTGTATCACATGGGCTGTTTAAATATTCATGCAGCCTCTTCTGGCAGCTAACAAGGCTGCAAACTTTGCCCAGAAAAAGAAAAAGGAAGATAATTACTGAATTTCATAGCACTCTGAAATGGCTGCTGTGAAGGAAAAATTTAAGTGCTGATTTTTGGTTTAATCTCTCAAGCAAATGTATTTTTTTTTATTCAGTGCAGGACAATAGGCAAGTGATTAAATGCATTTCTAAGTATTTTTTCTGAGTATGTCATCAGTGTTAGATACCCACTGACATTAATATCATAAAAAAGTATTGGACTGTCAAAGCCACCTCCTTTATAATTACTTTACTAATGACTTAAAATATTAACTGACACATCCCATTGCAGTCAACAGCTTTGTTTATGTAGTAACACAGGTTGAAATTATCAGCAACTGAGCAATAGAATATATCAGAGTGGAAGAAAGACCAAATTATTCTTGAGCTTGGTGGGTCACAATGTGAGGACATTTCATTTAGTGAAATCAGTTGGCACTATATGTTCTTCGTTAGCATATGTGAAGACACCAAAAATGTAGGTGTCTATTCATTGTTTTGTTTGTTTTAAGGAGACATTTCCCCTGATTGTAATTCAGTTTTTTTGTTGTCCTAATTCTGGCTGATAAAATTTAATTAAAACAAAGGAATTTCACAATTTCTGAAACAACATAAAAGCAAACCTTGTCACTGCACTGAATATCAAATTCTTTCTTCAAAGTAGTCTATTCAGTGAAAATCAACTTTATTTTATTTTTTATAACTACAGTCACAAGTTCTGACCTGTCAGTTATGCGTCCTCCCAATATGGCATACAAAAATGTAAGCATTAAAAACACCCCTTCATCAGTTTGCCCCTTCTAACAATAGTGATCTAAGATGTCAATTCAGATAAAACAATAGGTATCTTAATAGCTAAATATTAATAGTTTAATAGGTACATTAAAAGTTAAAAACGTCACTTGGAATGTCAGTGTTCAGTGTTTCTAGATGATTCATATTACCTAAGAATTGGCCATTAGTAAATATCAGGTAAGTAAAATTAAATAATCACCATTCTTAAATTCTACTTCTAAGAAAATTTCTTCAAAAAATTCATAACTACAGTTAATTATTTGAACCCTGTAGGCGTAGATATGTCTATAAATATGTATGTGTACATATATACAAATATATCGGACATATATTAAGAAAATACCTTCATGAAAAGTTGTATTTTTCATTTAATGTTTCAGATGTACATTACCAACACAATCAAAGCCAAAGGAACAAGACTTGCTAAGCCCGTTTTATGTTTGGGCTTAATGTGTTTGGCCTTTCTTACCGGACTCAACAGAGTAGCGGAATATCGAAATCATTGGTCAGATGTGATAGCAGGTTTTCTGGTTGGAATATCTATAGCAGTATTTCTGGTAAGTACAAATTTATTTGGATTTCACTGCATTTTTAATTAACTTCTATAATCACCTGCAAGAAAATGCAAGTGTGAATCACCAGGTTTCTCTAAATGTGGTGTATCAAATGATAATATGTATACTTTAGGTCATTCATTTCTTCCTCCTTCCTCATTTATTCTGCCTAAAGTCAAATTTGGGGATGAAAAATACATAAATTCTACACTCAAAGGTGAACAAAATATTTTCAGATAAAATGGAATAGGGCCAGAACATTCAGTCCTCCCTGGATAGTTTTTAAGACTAGGTTGCTTGGGGGGCGCCTGGGTGGCTCAGTCGTTAATCTGCCTTCGGCTCAGGTCATGATCCCAGGCTCCTGGGATGGAGCCCCACATCAGGCTCCCTGCTCAGCGGGAAGCCTGCTTCTCCCTCTCCCACTCCCTCTGCTTGTGTTCCCTCTCTCACTGTGTCTCTCTCTGTCAAATAAATAAATAAAGTCTTAAAAAAAAAAAAGACTAGGTTGCTTGGATATTTTAAAAATTTCCTCAGGTCACTTTTCATCCCAGAGTATCTAGAGTATCCCAAAGTACCCCAGGGCCTCAGCATAGTATCCTCCGTGAACTGCCATGTCACAGCGCTGGCTAACAGGTAAACCTCATTTGAGAGATGAATTAGTTCCCTTCAGTAACTAAAAATCCATGGATGGTTTCCAAGACAATACCACCTCAAGTCAGATTTTGCCAAGAGGTGAAGAGCATATGTAGTGATTTCTAATGAAGTAAGTATGCCATCTCTATTCCTTTTATAAAATCTCCTTGGAATGTTACTACAAGGTTTGGTTGTTGGAAAATATATTTTAGTCTGGCTTTAGAAATAATCAATCCATTATAAGCTTTAGTCTATAACATTTAACCCAGATGGAAAATGTGTAGACTATAAATCAAAACATACTTTTGCAGGACACGTTATAATAGGAAGAAACACTTTATTTCCATTTTGATTACATTTAAATTGCTTCTCATGCTTAACTTCCTTTCCTCAGCTCCTTTCCCTAGTTCATAACCAGTAAGCAAAAACTTGTATGAACCTTTCCAGCTAAAAATTTGTGTGCCGGGCATTTTAAATACGCAGTGTTCTGTAGAACCTCCTGTGGTAGAGTGGTGAGTATGACCGCATTCCTGCCCCATGCCCTGTACTGCTTTTCTTCCTGGTGTCACTCCCTCTGATTCCCCAGGTGACTGGGGGCCTAGGCCCACCCCCATCTCTCTCCCAGAGATATCGTATGGCCCCAGGGAAACTGGGGCCCAGGCTTGGGCCAGAGCCTTTTCGTTTCTTTCACTTACCACGTGTGAAGCAGATTGAAACATTTAAAACAAAACAAGGCAAACACCTTACATAAACCCTAAGAAAAGAACTACCAAAAGTGAAAATTTCGAAGCACTAGTGTCAGATGTAACAGTGTTTTGGCTCCGTGGGTCCAGAACCTCTTCACTTGGCATCTATCTTATCGGTCTTCCTACTTATTTTCCTGTGGCCATTGCCAACTTCCCTTCTCTTCCAATAAACATCCTGACCCCCTGCAAGACCGAATCTAGAACGCTAATCTCTTCCCAGTCACTTCTTCATCTGAGAACCAGGTGGTGAATGAGTTGGACTGTGGATCCCCCTTGGGCTCAAGCCCCTCTGATTGCACATATTCAGAACCTTCCACAATGGTTCTTCAGACATTCCCACACACCTGGAAAATGACCTTATGAAAAGGTGACGTGAAGATAATGCTTTAACTGTAATCACTAAACAAACATTTGTGCATTCATACACAACCGTTTCTGAGTATGAGTGCCTACAGGTGCCAGGCACTGTGCCAAGCACTGGGGATGCAAGGAGGCTCAGATAAACATGATCTGTCTCCTGTGAGAGTTACAGTCTGGTTCAGGGGTCAGACAACAATAGGTTATTTCCTCAACTATTATTCCCTTCCACTCTTCCTTCATAACAGAAACATTTACCGAGCTCCTGTTAAAATCCAGGCACTGTGCTTGGTGCTGGGGATTAAATACATGAAAAAGATACAGTCTACTTAAATAGATCACAAGATATACACCAAGAGTTTTATAGAAGGTTAAAGGTAATGATATCGGTTCATATACTCAGGAGATCTCTGTTGGGATTAAGGACAGTCAGAAAGGGGAGGGGATACATTAACTTGCAAGGTTTGTAAAGCAGGGAGGTCTAAGGAGGGGCATAAGGAATGAGAGGCAAAGAGCACAGTGCGCAGAGGCAATATAAAATGCTTCATAAAACAGGCATTTATGGAGCCCTTAGTCTATTGTGGGCCTGGGCACAGCATGCACATGAGGGGCAGTGGCATCATGGAATGGCACCAGTCATCCAGCATGAGTGACAAGAGTGGAAAATTGAAGAACACAGGGGTAGTTATCCTGAATGGCCTTGTAGGTTACAGTAATCTGGGCTTTTTCTCTTTGTAATGGAGGTGACTTGAGAGCCACAGTCAGAGTTCATGTGAGTTAAAGCTGGTTGAATCTCAGCTTCCTTATTTACTCTGTGCCATTATGCAGTTTTCCTCATTTGTGCCATTACCGATGGACCTTTCCGAGCCTCAGGTTCTTCCTCATTAAATGAGGCCAATAATAGCCTCCTTAAAGCTTATAAAAACTTAAAAGTTTGAATGAAATAGTGTATGTTCAACGAAGGGACACAGGAATGACTGAAGTCAGTCCCATAAATGATAGTTTGCTTCCTTTCAGCCCCTTTTACTCAATGATACAATCCGTGCTTTGAAAGTAGGTTTGTTGGAAAGTAAAACTCCAGATGAGGATAGAGGAGGCAAGTTGTGCAGAACCAGGGAAATCAGATGGCCCAAATCAGACCTGTGTGAGCACAGAGAGAAGGGAGGCTATCTGGGAGGTCTATGGAGATGGAAGACTTGGAGCTTGATGGCACACTGGGGATGACGGAGGCGAAGAAGAAGAGCAATCCGTGATAGTTCCCGGGCTTCTCATTTGGGCAAGTGGAACATTTATTCTGAGCAGCGACTCCAGCTCTGGCTTGCAATATCCTGGAGTGTCTCCAATTATCTTGCAGTGTGTGCAGAACTCTGAAATGGTTCCAGAATAAAATGAGCACTAACCTACTCCAAGACTCTATGTCTCAGTTAAAGGCATCCACTTCCCCCAGTCACCCAGACCCAATGTCTAGCGTCTGTCTTTGACTCATTCTTCTCGTTCATCCCCCACACCCGGTGATTCATCTGGTCCCAGTTTATTTCCACTACAAAATGTCTCCTCCACATTTCATTTCTTGGCCATTCTGACCAAAATGTATACTGTGGGATTGTACTCAATTTTTGAGATTAGTGCTTTTTCCCTTTCTTCTATCTCTGGATTCCTAACTGCCTCCTCACTTCAGACTCTCCTCCAAATACCTCCCATTCTGCTTCTCTTTTCTTTAGAACATAATCCGTTGCTAATAACAAGACAAAGCAAAACAAAACAAACCTCATTCCTGCTGCATTAAACCCAGATACATCCACTGGGCTTCTGGGATTATCCGTAATCTAGCTGCCCTCTTTCCAGCCAAGTTTATTTTCCCTCCTTGCAGGGGAATCCTCCACTCAGGTTCCTTACCCCCACAGACAGATTCTGTCCGGCCTTTATGTTTGCCCCAGTGAGAATGCCCATTCCTCTGTATATTTTAGAGAGCAAAACAGGGGTCTGGGAGCCACATGCACCTAGGTTTGAATCTTGCTTTTGCCACATGCTGCGCATGTGACCTTGAACAGGTCACTTGTCTCCTCATTTTTTCTAACCCTAATGAGACCTCCCTGACCTGTATTTAAAATGGCTTTCCCTCCCCCAAGGAATCCTTTCCTCATTCCCTATTCACTTTTCTCCATAGCATGTTTCAACTTTAATATGCCACATACAATATTTTTGTTTCTGTTTTTGCTCAAACCCACTAGGATGTAAGCTGTGCATGGAGAAGGCATTTGTTTTCTTTACCGTGAATTCTCAGTACTCAGTACAGGGTCTGGTAGTTAGGGGGTTCTCAGGAAATACTTGAGGGATGAATGAATGAATGGGGAACTGGGTTTATTTCTTCCCAGAGCTCTTTCAAGCATTAAGTGAAATCCCATATGTAGTAAGTACAGTTCAGTGTGTGGTGCAGAGAAGGAGTTGGAGATCATGGTCCTCACCTTTGATGACTATTGAGATCCTTTTTGCCCTCGAGATTTTTCCCAGACAAGTCCCAACTTGCCCGAAAGGTGTCCCTGACTACCTCGTTCTCTCATTTTTCCTGAGTTTCCACTGCCCTCAAAGTCTGGCCCTATTATATTCTAATGAGGATTAATATCCTACCCTGCTTATCACGCTCACCCCCTGTGCACTTTCTTTTAAAGTCAGAGAACAGGGGCGCCTGGGTGGCTCAGTCGTCAAGCGTCTGCCTTCGGCTCAGGGCATGGTCCCGGGGTCCTGGGATCGAGCCCCGCGTCGGGCGAGCAGGGAGCCTGCTTCTCCCTCTCACTCTGCCTGCTTGCACTTCGTTTCTCTCTCTCTGTCAAATAAATAAATAAAAATAAATAAAGTTAGAGAACAGAATCCCCATGCTTAAGAAAATGCAAAACAAATACTAGCTGAACAATAGTTGTAGATTGGTCAATAGTATTTAACAAATATATGCTTAACAAATGTATGCTTCAAAGTCCTTCCAGAAAAGATGCCCAGGGTCAAGTCAAGTAGTTCCAGTTTCCTGAGGCACAGCAAGAACCTGTCATGTTATCGTATGTAATATGATAATAACAATAAGAGTTATTTGTGTGGTCTTTACTACAGTAACTCAATTAATCCTCACAACAGCACGGTGAGATGTAGTTATTATTGTTCACATTTTGCAGGGAAAAAAAGAGCAGGTCTAGTTATATGGAGTTGTTTGCCCAGGCTCACAGTGAGTAAATCAGAGAGCCTGGCATTAAAGCCCGGTCCTGTTTGACCCCCTGAGCCTATGCACTTACCCCCAAGCAATACAGAGGTTTTACTTGCTACAGATGAAGAGGGAAAATGACCACAAATAGATCAAATTAATTTATTATTACCACTGGCAAAAGAACACAGAAATATATGTGTAATGGTGACTTATTAGTGTCATTTTTGTAGGACAGGGTAGAATTATACACATGGAAGCCATTAATGTGAAAATAGAATGTTTCAGAGGAATGTCACTTTAAATTATATAGGAACATCAGAAAACTTGAGAATTCTTGGCCTTGGTTCATTCATTAGTTGATTCATTCACTGTGGCACTGGGAATACAATGGTGAGCAAAAAAGAAAAAAAAAAGAAAAGAAACAGCATCTCTGCTTTTGTAGAGCTTACAAGGAAACTCTCTTAGGAAGAGATTCACATCAACTGAAGTATTACGTATTACGCTGACAGATGTATGATTTCACTAGAAATTGGTGCTTTGATGAAAAGCATCAGGGATTGACTTGATCAAACAAACAAAAACAGCCTGAGGTCAGAGAAAGCCAGTGAAGAAGTGATATTGAGATGAGATACCACGGCTGAGTAGGATATGGTGCCCAAAGAATGTGGAGTTGAGTATTCCAAACAAAAGGCAGCGAAAGGGAAGGACAAAGAAGGAAGGCTGCAAAGGTGGGCAAGGTTTATACTATAAGAGAAATGGGGAACCCAGTCACAATAGTTTGAAGAAGCTTGACATGATCCAATTTGCATTTTGGAAAGATCATTCTTATGTCACTATAGAAATGGATTGGAGGGAGCCAAGATTGGATTTAGGGAGACTTTAGAAAGCTACACAGGAATCCAGGCAAGTGGTGGTGATTGCTTAGTCTTTGGAGTTGGTGGTGGAGAGCAAAGAAAGCAGATATAAGAAATCAAAATTTTTAGGAAGGAAAATTGAGCAAATTGACTGATTGTGTACAGGAGGTGTAAAGGATGAATCCAAGTTTTCAGCCTTATGCAATTAGGGGAGAGGGCATGTGGGGGTTGTTTCCTGAGAAGATCCAGAAAAATATCAAGCTTTATAGTGGGGTCAGGAGATAGGTAGATCTTAGGTTTCACTTTGAACATTTGTTGAATTTTTCCTACCTTTGACAACCAAAGGAATGGACTAACTTGGTAAAATATTGCAACCTCTTCCCTTACAAATTGAGAAAACTCAGACCCAGAGGACTGTCCAAGAACATACAGACTTGGAATCAAAAACCAAGCCTCTTGCTTTTACCTATGAGCATTTTTCTTTCTTATTTTTTAAAGATTTTATTTATTAATTTGACAGAGAGAGATTGAGAGAGAGAGAGACAGAGCCAGGAGAGGAACAGAGGGAGAGGGAGTTCCACGCAGGGCTCAATCCCACGACCCTGAGATCATGACCTGAGCTGAAATCAAGAGTTGAACACTTAACCGACTGAGTCACCCAGCCCCCACCATGAGCATTTTTCTAATAAGAAATCAGTTCCATACTTATAAATGTTAGCAGGCAAGACATGTTAAATATTTGAATATGGTTCTAAAGAAGATTTGGCATTTCCTCCCTTATAATTTAAATAATAACAGTAATGAAGAATAATCATTATGTTAATAGATACTATTTAATGAATATCTACTATCTGTTAGGTGTTTAAATAGTTCACATATGAATTCTCAGCTGCTTCAGTAGTGTTGTCCTAACCCTCAATTAAGGCGAAGAAATAACTGATACAACCTTTCAAAGAGTTTACCAAACCTAAATAATATAAAAGCAATTATACTAATTTCAAAAGCCCACATTAACTCTAGATGAACTCTTCTTCATCTCATGACTTCCATGAGATGGAAGTTATTTCATTTCAACAAATTTTACTTCATAAGAATTTGTAGCAATTTTTTTATCTGCCTAATCTTTCATTAGTTTATTTCTATTAATGAAAAGGGAAATATGAGTGTATATTTCATGAAGTGATTGTGGAAGCTTCTTGATTGTTATGTTTTTATTGGCTAAAATTCTTGATTATATCCTTTGTACTCCAAGCAGTGGTCAGTTAGCAAACTATAGCCATTAGGTGAAATTTGGCCTGATATTTATTTATTTTTTTTTAAGTTACATTGGAACACTGACATGCCCATTCATTTACGAATTGTCTATGGCTGTTTTCACACCAAAATATCAGAGTTGAATAGCTGCTGCAGATACTATGTACCAGCAAAGCCAAAAAAAATGTACTATTTGCCCCTTACAGCCAAAATTTACTGACCCTTTCTATAGGGCAATCACTATTAGTCTTTTGTAGGGTCATCATTTGATACTAGGTTTATCAAATACCCATCTCTAAGCTTGTACCATCCCTTACATTAAAGATCTTGATGGCAATGATAAAGTTGATGGTTCAAACTATCAGGCTTTGATCTGTGTTTCTGACCTGTAATTATTCATGGAAATGGAAGGATAATAAGTATTCTACAACTAGGGAAATATTTTCTCTAAGATAAAGTCTCATAGTATGTGTTATTATTTTGTAGATTTATAAATTTTATTTAAAAACTGGAGAATAACCAAGATCTAATTGGCCCTTGAAAATATTCAGTAATGAGCTCTACTAAAGAAAAGGCTTTCCAAAGGAGCATTTGTGAAAATCTACAATGTAAATGTGTAATTACATATTAAACATTTATTCTTTTAAAAAATGAATGTTAGGTTACAACTGCAAGGAAGTTCTGTATTTTAGCTTGGTAATAGGCTATAAACCCAGAAAAAGAAGGCTCAAGAATATCTTATCCACTGCTTAATATAAGCAAACAATAGCAAGTAATTTTCCTGTGTTGTTTAATTCACTATTTCTTAAAGTATGATTCACCTGCATCAGAAGCTTCTGGAATGTATTTCCAAAAAGTGGCAACTCCTAGGCCCCATCCTTCATCTACAAAATCAGAATCTTCAGGGGAGGGCTTAGGAACGTGCATTTTTAACAATGGTGGGCCTTTATTTTTATGTAACCTGAAGTATGAGAACCTCTGGCTTAGTTCAAATGCTGTCACCTATGGGATATAATCAATTGAAACAAGGGTCAATTTCCTTTATGTAAAATGTCTTCTATTTCACTGGTAGCCTCAGTAAGCTATTGTTGAAATGCCAAGTATACATGGGATACAATAATAAACAATAAACTAGGTTAATTAAAGGGATGCTACTAAATTAGAAAGTGCCAATTGTAGAAGGTTTATTACGAATGTAATGATCTTGAAGCAATGAGAAATAATTAACATTTAAATTAAGTTGTAGGTTAACTGCATTAGGGAAAGGTTAGCTTGCTATGAATTTTTATAAGGCTATAATGTTATTTATGGATTGATTTGAGCATTGACTATAACCTAATTTAATGAAAATTTTAGAATAATGAAATTGTCATTATTAACTGAGCTACACATTATTTGATACATTTTCTTGAACACATTTACACTGGAATAAAATTTATACTAGATAAACCTGGATGTAAAGCTATATATGTAATACTTAAGTAATTTTAATACTTTATTTCTATGATTAGATTTAGTAAGCTGCTTTAAAGGTCATAGTCACAGGGAGTGTGGCTTTGCTTCAACTGCATTTTTTTCCTGAAATTTTAGGTTGTGTGTGTGGTAAATAATTTCAAAGGAAGACAACCAGAAAATGAACATATACACATGGATAATCTGGCACAGATGCCAATGATCAGCATTCCTCGAGTAGAAAGTCCTTTGGAAAAGGTAACATCTGTACAGGTGATTCATAATTTAAATTCTCAAATGTGATTGTTATCTAGAGCAAATGAATAATCATTTCTGAGAGTTCCTGCATAGTCATGTTTGATTTACTGAAGCAAATTTAGAATCTAATGTGGTATTTAGCAAGAATTTAGTCACTGATAGCTTCATCTTAGAAAAATGCATATCACATTGAAAATAATTCTTTGAATACCTCATGCTAAAAGCTTAGTATTTATGTATGGAATATGTTCTGTACTTTGCCATAACTTTGAGATAAGGAACACTGTGCAATGATGGGTCTCATGCATGGGTGAAATGATAAGGTAGCCTCATTTGAGAATACATGAATTTTTTTCATAAAATACATTCCACTTTTCCCATCCTCTGTTTATGTTAGATAAGACTTAGGATAATGCCTAGGACATAATATGGCTCAATAAATTTTGTTGAATCTCATTATATAAAGATCTGGCAGCAAGAAAACACCAATCATGCTCTCCTAATCAGGGAGGTCCTGAGGGTCAGGTTGGGCAGAATGGAGCCGGACCAGGTAGCACTTTGAATGGCAGGTCAAGGCTTCATTGGGCATGGCAATGAACCAATAGCCAGGTATTTAACAAAACTTTTCTTGAGACTTTTTCTCTAGACTTATCTGGTGAACTAGGGAGGGTAATATTACTTAAAAGATGATGCAATTATGTACATTTGTAATTGGTTCAGTGATTATCCAGAGGGTTATGAAAGGCTTCTCATCAGTCCTGTCCATACCCCCACTTTGATAGATATGTTAGATGAAGAGATCAATTACATGCTAATCAGGGGCTTAGATGGTATGAATCAGTGAGGGATAATTAATACATTGGTTGAAAAAATAAAAGTTCTTGAGAGATTAGATACAGTTAACCACTAGAAATAAAGCAAATGTTTTGGATTTGGATTTAAAAAGAAGTTCATGTAGGGTAGGGCACATCTAGGGTAACTACACAAACAAAAAAGCCTCAGAGGGTATAGTAGGTTACCATTTGGCATGTGTCAACAGCATGTTACAGCTGCCAAGAGTTATATGATCTTAAGTTCCACTTAACGGAAATAATATCCTGAATGAGGGGATTGATGGTTTGCTCTGCTCATACTAACTTGGAACGCCATAAACTGCCCTTATTGACAAAGTTTTGAGGAGGGCATCAATAAAATAGAGTAGTCGGTACTCAAATATTTGTTAAATGCGTGAATGAATGTGTCCAGGACAGTGAATGGACTCAAAGTCATGGATTATGAAAGACTGTTGAAGAAATAAAAAATGATAGAGAAGAAAGAAAACTCATGGAGGAAGCAATAACGTTCCATACGTGTCTGAAGGACTATTGTATGGCAGAGGGATGCGATTTGTTCTGCCAGCGCCTCAGAGGTGACAGTTAGGATGACAGAAATGAAAGTGTTAAGAAGACAAATAATGTCTAGAAAGAAGGAAAAACTTTCTCAAAATGGGATGTCTTCCTTAGGAAAAATGAAATTTCCTTTTTTTAAAAAAAATTCCTTTTATTATAAGGATTCAAGAATAGTTAAACTATCACTTATCCATGATAGTATGGAGGGAGTTCAAGCATCACTGTGAGGATAGAGGTACTAGATCATCATCATCACAACAATAATAATAGCTACCTTTTAGTAATCATTCGGTATGTGTCAAGTACTATGCAGATTGCTTATGTAAATTCCACAGATACACTTCTATGCTCTGAAAGTCTAACTTCATTCCTTACAACAGTTTTTAAAGCTGGGTGTCATCATAGTGGCAAATGCTGCTAATAGTCCACAGTATCCCTTCCCCGATTCTTCCTTTTTGTAACTGAATTCCCCAATCCAATTTTAGCTACATCCACCACTGCCTAGCCATAGTCTGTATCTCCCAGCTACCACTGCAGGTAGGCGTGACCATGCAGCTAAGTTTAGACCAACGGGATGTAAGTAGAAGTGGTCAGTGCAACCTCTGGTTCATCGCTTGAGGACTCTTGTCTCTGTCCCTCCTCACCCTTTTCATCAAGTGGAAAAGGTATGACTGGAAGTAATCTTTAACTTTTTAAGATGACCGATCCACTTTGACGGCCTAAGTTCCTAGATGAGCTCAGGGAGCAGTCCACAGACACACTCTAGATGGTTCTGAAAAAGAAAGAAACTTCTTTCCTCTCTGAACCATTGGATTGTTTTCATCTGTTTCCCACAGTGGCTTAGCTGATGCCCAATTACAGTAAGTGTCTCCATTGTACAGTTAAGAAAACTAAATTCCCAAGTGTTAAGCAATTTGCAAAAGTCCACATCATCAATAAGCAGCAAAGTTATACAATGTGGTATTTCCAGATACATGGGTTTTGTTTAAAACTGAATAATATGTAAAAATTATATCTTTTATAACTCAAGAAATGAATATAGAAAGCAACAGAATTTAGGAAGAGATATTAGACATATTTTGAAGACAATGGTCACGTTAATAATTAGTCTTCATTTTATATACCTCTGAAGTTAACTTGAACAATAATCACTGTCTTCTGTTTTTTAACATATTTATTTGTGTAAAGGTTCTTTAGTAGCCTCCTAGCATTGCCAAATATCCTTATATATCATTGTATCCTTTTATATATAAAATGATCATAAATTTCTGTTGTTGAATTTAAGCAAATTTATTTTTATTTACAGAGAGTTTTAAAATATGAAGACAAATATATTCTATTAGAATCTGTAGATTTCAAGACATCAGTGTGTATTAACTTCTTTCATTAATTGTTTTGTTTATGACAAATTCATGTGCTCTGTTTTTACTTTGATAGTTAGGGAATAAAGGTGATTTAGGTGATTTGAATCTGACTCAGTTCTCCCTTTTGCCCCCCGAAGGGCATTGGCACACACCTTGCTGAGTTCCAACTTTGCTCCCTACTCTTTTTATCCTGTTTCCAGGCAGAACGCTGTCTGCACAATGCAGGATCTGCTCCTGCGTCACACAGACCACAGGAAGATCACGAATCGAGCTACTGGGGACGTATCTCAGGCTTCCTTGTGGAGCTCTGTTGCTGAGAGGACATGTATTTGTGCTCATCAGCCAAAAAGGGAGGAACGCCATCACTTAAGGGAAGCCCACAGTGGCTTTCTCTATCTTTTGTGATACAGAGTATTTGGAGTAAATGTATTGCTTTTCATCATAGTTCGCGATGGGAAACAAGTGAATACAAAATTCTTCCCAGTATTTGATCTTAGTAATTGATAGTTGGAGAGTGGCAATAGGTTCTTGAAACTGCCCTCAGAGGAGGAAAAGGGAGTCCAGTATGAAAGTTTGGTCTGCAGACCTCGCCAGTAGTTTGAGCACTGTGATGTATTATGCCAAGCTATCATTTTCGGCTGGCCAGTTTTGTGTGAAGAAGGCAAAGGGTTTCTTTTAGAAGCTATGTACTTACATAACCTCCTATGTTCAAAGTACATGTTTGATAAACTGTAAGCTACAGAGTAATTACAACATGCCAGTGTTCTTTATTTTTATGCCAGCAATTTATCCCTTAATTATAGGGAGTTTGTCATATAGTTAATTACCATAGTTTATGAGGAAAAGTCATGATTTTTCTGAAAGCTAAGTAAATCTGAACATTCATTACATTTGGTTTTATGAAAAGAATTAATCATCTGTGGAAACTGGCCCCTCATATCTCATAGTCCACTAAATATTTAAGTTGCCAGTAACTTCATTACAGCTGTTTGTAATATCAAATCATAAAAGTCTAACTGTGTATCAGGAGTGAATAAATGATTAAGTCAGTGTTACATTCCTATAATGGAATCTAGTACCTTATAACGCGGTGTTTCAGCCACAGGTTCTGGAGGTAGACTGGCTGGGAATTTGGGACAATTTTGACCTTGGGCAGCTTATTCAAATATTCCGTGAGTTTTCTCAATCATAGAATGGACGTCATGAGAGTTCAATAAGCTAATAGTAAAGCACGCAGAACAGTATCTGGAACCTGTAAAGCTCTTAATCACTGCCAGTTATTATTACCATTTAACAGTTGAAGTGGATGGGGTAAATCAAGATGTGGAAAGTTTTCTGATACATATTGTAAAGGTTTTTTGTTTGTTTGTGTAAATTTTATTTATTTATTTATTTATTTATTTATTTATTTATTTATTTGAGAAAGAGAGGGAGAGTGCCCATGTGCCCCTGAGTCAGGGGGTGGGGTAGCAGAGAGGGAGGGAGAAGGCCACAAGCTGACTCTGCACCTGCTAAGCCCTTGAGCTCTTGGATCAAGTTGCGGGGCTGGATCCCAGGACCCTGAGATCCTGATCTGAGCCCAAACCAAGAGTTATGTGCTTAAAAGCCTGAGCCATCCAGGAGGCCCATAGCTGTTGTTGTTTTTTTTAAGTTGATATATATATCGTGTGTGTGTGTATGATGAAGCTAGTTATGTAAATTACCACACAAGATAAATTCCTTCTGGTAAGATATAAAAGAGCATGTAGATGAAAGAGGGGAAAAAAGAGAGAGAGAGAGAGAAACTAGATACCAATCTGAAAGCAATGCTTGAACAAAGGAAGCAACTGAGATAGTGTACTGGATATCTTTTCTTTCTTTCCCTTCTTTTTGTTCCTTTGTTCTTTCGTTTTTTCATTCTTTCTTTTTTTCCTTTCATCCTCCCTTCCTCCTTTGCCTCTTTCTTTTGTTCTCTTTCTCTTCCTTTTTCTTTCTGTAATGAAAAATTCATGAATAATTGTGTAATAAAAATAATTACAATTATGCTCTAAAGAGGTTCTGGTTATGCTTCCTCTTATTGACTACCAATATGTTCAGATTTACCGAAGTCCCTTGGAAAGATTCCCTCACAATAATTTAAATCCCCATGCTCCTTCCTTATGTGTCACAGGGATTTAAAAGGATCCTTTTAAAAATGTTTGGTCTATTTTTCTCTGCTGAACTGAGCATGAATACCTTGGTTGTGTCTCCCATGCCCTCATGCCTAGGGTCCAGGTTCCCTTGGCACGCCTGCAGCCATACTCATTCCAGGTCCCATCTGTCCTGAGAACCTGCACACAAACCTTGTGTAGGTGCCTCTTACTTAAAGGATCCACAAAGTTCCCATTCCACCAAGGCCCCAGGGAACCAGCTTTTTTCATAGGTCACACCACTTCCTTTCAGACTCATCCTTTTCTGGCTCCTGCCTTCGAGGGCCCATGCATCCCAGACAAAAGCTTCAGTGGTGCTGGCTTCAGGATGGCTTCAAATACATGAAATTTCTATTAATTACTCTGGGATTCCAGAAACTTCTGGGAAGTGGAGATGGAGACATTTACATATTCATTATCTTTAGTTCCTTTTTTAGCAAGAGTAAAGTAAGAATTAATATCTTAATAGCTGTGTCACAAAGAGTAGAAACTAGATAGAGTAAAATTTTAGTCATTTCTACTAAATATCATATACATTAATCCGGTTTGAAGGATGTCACCAAAGGATGATTAAAGTGTTTCTTTGCCAATAAAGAAGTTCAAAATTGTGGAATTGGCTAAAATCCTATAGAATCTCAATAATACACCAAAATTTGAGAGAGTAAAGATAGAGATAGGAGCAATCTCTGGGAGAACGAGGAGTCTATTCTATTTCGAACACATTTCAGCACCTGAACCAACACCATTTTGAGACTGGGTTAGCAAATAGGCAAATACATGACAAAAAAAAGCCTTTGGGCAAGAAATTTTCCCTCTGATCAAGCTTCTAATTAATATGGGTTCATAGTAAATGAGGGAGTTATTTTCCTCAACTGAATGGGTGCTATAAAATGGAATGGAGTGTTACCTTCATTCAAAAAAAAAAAAAAAAAAAAACAAACGCTGGCTCCAAAGACTGCATCTACCTGGAGTAGAGGTTACACTGAAGAGATTAACAATCTTTCCGATGGTCCAACAACCATGGGGATGAAACTGTATAGGAACAAAGTGATATTCCTATAGTCTCAGCTTCTTCTCCCACTCCACTCATCAAATCATCAAAATGATGTTATAAAACTACATTCACCATCTTTTCAGCTCAAGATCTGATGTAAAGATTCCTTGACTCTTCATGGAACAATTTGGGGATCTTTGATGAATCTTCTCCCCCCGTTTTAGGGAGACAAACTGAGCTAAATCTATTATGATTCAAATATAAATAACTAGGACAATTATTTAAATCCTTTAAAATGATTTCATGACACAGATGAGAGAGATAGACACATTTCAAGAGTTAGAATATGTTTTGGGAAAAAAATTAACTACAAGAAATTTAATTAAATTTATTATAGAGAGCATCTTCTTTTCACTGTCAAGGAAATTAAAGAAAATATGTGAAATGAGAGATGAAAGTTAGGTGGCACAATGGCACAGTTAGGAAACAAGGAAAACAAGTAACATTATGGCAGGATGGAAACCAATAGTAGAAACCATAAAGAACAAAATCTCTACTGGATAAAGTCATATCAGTTATATTAAGGACAGGTTTCAGCATATGTAGTAAAAGAACAAGAAAATAAAATTGATCTGAGAAAAAATAACAGATACAGAAGACATACGACAGTATGTCATATGAATCATTGTAGATGATGAATCATTGTAGATCCAGAAGAAAAGGGTAAATAGAACTAGAGCAATATTCAGAGATATATATGAAGGAGACTTTTCTTTCAAACAAATACCTTTAGTCTAGAAGGGTTAACTAGATACAAGGTAAAATTAAAATGTATACTAAAACATAGATGATATTTCTCAGTGAAATTTTTGAATTTCAATACTGAAGAAAGAGACCTATAAATTCTGTGGGAGATGTTATTATTGTTCCCAATTATTAACTACCACCTTCCTTTGGCAGAGTATCCTTCCTCCAGTTATTTTGGATTTGTTCAATAACATGTGAATGAATCTGACTTATGCCCCATCAGTCAGAAACTTGTAGAGACATCAAGAGTTTTTGCCAACTTTATTGCTCCTTGGCTTTTTTTCTGGAAAAGTCCATGTTCCAGATAGGGGCTGCTTCCTCAGCCTGTACCCCAGAATGGGAATACACAAGAAACAGAAGAGCACGCAACCACTAGGCTGGAGCAGATCTATAGAACCTGACCACCAACAAGTGGTATGAGGGAGTTGGAAGCCACTGTGCTTTTGAGGTTATAATATGGTATACCTAGTGAAAACTAACACACACACCAAGGCAGAAAAATTAGGTTACCAACCCAAGACTGACAGCATATTGGCCTCAGACTTCTCTCTCCATAACAGTCGATGCCAGAATAGAAAGGAGTAATGTCTTCAGAGTTTTCAAAGTAAAAGTTTGTGACATAAGAATTTTATTCCCACCGAAAAGGTCATTTAAGTATTCAAGATAACCATAAAATACCAGATATGCAAGAATTTAGGGATTATATTACTCATGAAATATTACCAGAAGATGTTTACCAACTAACTGAGCAACACACCAATATCTGGAGCCTTCAAAGATTTTATTTATTTGTCAGAGAGAGAGGGGGGCAGGAAGAGAGAGAAGCAGGCTTCCCACTGAGTAAGGAGCCCAGTGCAGGATTCAGTCCCAGGACCCTGTGATCATGACCTGAGCCAAAGGCAAATGCTTAACTGACTGAGCCATTCAAGTATCCCGATCTGGAGCTTTCAAATTGGCAAAGTCATGATATGAATGAATTGGCAGAAAGAATGGAAACCATTTACATAAAGAATTAATTGGAATTGGCTATGGTAATTACAGAGAAAAGTTAAACTATTTAAAGAGAAGATATATAAAAAAGAAAATAATATAACAATGACAGAACGAGACAGACATCCTAGATAATACCAACAAAAGTAAAATTATGATAATTTCCAGATTTTATAAAGGAGGGACTCGGTATCACTGTTTTTTTCTTGACATTGCTTACTAGAAAAATATAGGTTGAAGCCTTTTTGTAAAAGTTATCAAAAGTAATTAAAAACAATGTGTAAAAGTCGAGTAACAAACTATAAAATATCAGCAACACGTGTCAAAAGATTGATGTTTGTAATATATGAAACATCCTAACTGAAAAATGAGCAATGTTCATAAATATGCAAATTATTAGAGATCAAATGC